TGTCACCGGCACACTCAAGTCAACCTACTACTTCTCTGGCCAGACTGCTCAGGTAAGTCTATACTGTGATGTGAGGCACTAAGAACTAGCTCTAACGCCGTCTTCAGACCAGCACCCAATACACCTTCGAGGGACCCGCCAACGGCGACTACCTCAAGCATGACACGGCCGATAGCACGTCGGTTGTGTGGTCGCCTTGCGGCACTACTGGCATGCTCAACATCAACTCACAAGTCCGCCTGACTACCACCAACTCCTCCGCCACTGGTCTGCTCACCACCGACTCTACTGATCTCAAGTTCACCCAAGTTGTGTACGTGCAGTGGCAGAAGTGCACTGCGTAGATGGCTGATTGCAGTTGATGCAGGCCCAAAAACCTAACTAGCTGGATAAGCGTGAATGGGCCATGGGAGCTGAGCGTTGGAGATCTTGCGTGGAGGAGGTGCCGTGGCGATGATTGGATGATTTGATGGCTTGCTCGTTTATATTTTGATGTCTGTAGTTACTTGAATGAGATGCGCATCTCCCACTACTTTTCTGTACTGCTATGGTGCCCAATAATTTGATGATATGTACTAGAGATGAAGCAGAAGGTGGTGGCAATGTGCCAGTGTAGTAGGGTCATGAGACGAAACTAGCCTTTGCCATACGTCGGAAAAGGTGGAGATGGGAGGCCGGTCTTGGCATTCAGGGTCATGGTTGCCCTATCCGAGACCCCTGTCTGTTTACTGTGGCCGTGCGTCGGACAACAGAAGTTGGGGAGCAGTCCAACACCGTCATTGAGCCCACCAGTCAGCCACACCACCACTCTTTACATACAGCGTGCTGCTCAATACCAGACGCTGTGTACCATAACTGACGTTTCAGTTCATATCCCCACGGCGCAACCATGGCCGCTGCGGGCGCGTCCTCCATCTCTGTCACCGTACGAGTCCGCCCTTTCACCATTCGAGAGGCAGCCCAGGTGACGCGCAATGACGACCAAACACTGTTCCTCGGCGATGGCTCGCTGGCCGGAGTGCCTGCACCAAAAATTCACAAGGGCATCCGGCCGGTGATCAAAGTCATGGATGAAAAGTGCTTGTATGGCAACTCAGGAGTACCACGCCAGTGTTGGGCTAACATGGTTTCAGGATATTCGACCCCCCAGAAGACAGCGCTATACATAGGTTCGGCCGCTCAACAACCGGACCTCAAGGCAAGCGAGCAAAGGACCAAACATTTGCATTCGACAGAGTATTCGACGACACGACTTCCCAGAGCGATGTATACGAAGCCACGACGAAGCCTTTGTTGGATAGTGTGCTTGAAGGATACAATGCAACCGTCTTTGCATATGGTGCTACAGGTTGTGGAAAAACACATACCATCACGTATGTCTATGCACACCGCCGTTTAACATGGGAGGGGCAGAACTGACCTGTGTCCAGTGGAACATCACAGCAGCCCGGCATAATCTTCCTCACTATGCAAGAACTCTTTGAGAAGATTCAAGAAGTGCAGGATGAAAAGGCCACCGAAATTACACTCTCGTACCTAGAGATCTACAACGAGACGATTCGCGACTTACTGGTGGAAGGTGGCAGCAAGCAGGCCCTGATGCTACGGGAAGATGCGAACCAAGCAGTTTCAGTAGCTGGATTGTCAAGCCACAGGCCGCAAAATGTTGGTCAAGTTGAATTTGCGTGAATCGCCCCCAATTGCTGACAAGATGTAGGTTCAAGAAGTCATGGATATGATTGTTCGCGGTAACGAATACCGAACCATGTCTCCTACCGAAGCCAATGCTACCTCGTCTCGATCTCACGCTGTTCTCCAAATCAATGTCTCGTCCAAAGACCGCAACGCCTCCGTCAACGAGCCCCACACCATGGCTACGCTCAGTATCATCGATTTAGCGGGAAGTGAGCGAGCTAGTGCTACCAAGAACCGCGGAGAGCGACTGACTGAGGGTGCCAACATCAACAAGTCTCTTCTGGCATTGGGAAGCTGTATCAATGCCCTGTGCGATCCACGGAAACGCAACCATATTCCATATCGTAATTCGAAGCTCACCCGATTGCTCAAATTCTCGCTCGGAGGCAACTGCCGCACTGTTATGATTGTTTGTGTCAGCCCGTCAAGTGCCCATTACGATGAGACACAAAACACATTACGCTATGCCAATCGCGCGAAGAACATCCAGACCAAGGTCACCAAGAACGTATACAACGTCAACCGCCACGTCAAAGACTACCTAGTCAAGATTGATGAGCAAAGACACTTGATTGAAGAATTGATGAAAAAGCAAAAGGATTTTGAGGGTAGTGCATTCATCAAATACCAAAAGCAGAGCGAGAAGAAGGACGGTATTCTACGGGATGCTATCATACGTCTACGTCAAGCCTATGCGGATTCGGAGCCCGAACGTCGAGAGCGATTCAATATGTCCAAGACACTGAAACAAGCTGAAAAGCGCATCTCGCTCATCTCTTCTTGGATTGCAGCATTCGACAACGTCAGAGATATCAGGGAAAACGAAGAGATGCCATCGCAAATCACTGCGATGAGGGACACTGCGGTCGGGATTTCAGCCGAGCTCGAGCAAACAAGACAGCATTGCCACCGCCGTTTGGAGCGTACCAATTGGACAAGTAAGATGGACACTGCCCTCCAAGTAGGACTGAGGGGTCTGGCAGAGGTGGACAACAACGCCGATGGCCGTGACGCTGCCAATCTGACAAGAGAATACGAACTCCTCAAGTCGAATGCAGACCGCGAACTTTTCAATGCTCTGCTTGACCAAGAACGAGGCGGTGACGCTGCCATTGTCCAAGTGCTTGTTCAAGCGCACATTGAAACTGTTGCAATCCTGAACCAGATCACTCAAATGGACGAAGCCGATGCAGTCGCCGCCGCACGCAAATTACTAACAAAGATCATGAACGCGTGTACAACCGCCACTTCACAAGCTATTCGTCCAGATGGCGGCTTGTCAGTCGCTGGATTCTCTGAATCGAACTACAAAGGCACGCCGAAGCGAAAGAAGCCTATCAACATCATAGAACCCTCTCCAATGCGCCCATTGGCCTTACCGACACTGGCTGATGCGTCTCATCTCACTGCATCGCCTGCTAAAGCGTCACCACGCCGAAAGAAGCTCATGAGTGGAGTGAAGAAGGGCATCCAGTTTTCTCCCATGAAGAAGAAGTCGCCCTCGAAGATTAAGCGAGGAGTACGGTGGAGGGACGATACTGAGAACGGCACACTTGCAGAGTTCCAAAAGACACCTGAGCATGTTGAAGGTACCCCAACTACCACCTCAATCGACATGCCGCAGCCAAACTTCACCGCTCCCGCTCCCGCTCCCGCACCAAGATCAGACGGAAGCAGCTCTTCGCCCATACCCACGCCGCCAAAGGCGTCTGTGGACCTCAAAGGCACATCGCGATTCGCAGTTGGCGCTCTTTCGAAACGGCCAGACGGTTCGCCTACTTCCCGCATCCCCGCCCTATATACCTCGGATTCTGACGGCGCGTCTCCTCTACGCGAGATTGCCAGCAACCCGCGTGGTTCTGGGTTGAGTCACGTACAGAGCGCATCTTCTGATGCTGCGGCTGAAGCAGATAGCGGTAATTCCAGCTCAGAAGGAGAAAAGTGGACAGCATCAGATGCACGCAAGATTAGCCACGCAATTAGGCGGCGCTCTTCTACCAATGCAGGCTCGGTACCAATCAGCCGCGCTCACCGGCGCCGCAGCCCAACCGCAGCGACCATTGGAAGTCCGCCTGGCGAGAACTCACTTCTATCTGCGGGTGCAGCACGCCGCATGGTCAAGTCCAATCACGAAGCTGACTGGAAACACAGCGTACTCAGTCCGCGAGTCACGCCCATCATGAAAGGTGCTGCGAGACGTACTACTGTAGCTAATGGTGACGACCGACCACGGGAGGCGCCGGCAAGCCTAAGTTCGCGAGCACCTGTTCGCATTACCAGTGGCTCTTCTGCGAGAGGTACTAGCCTGATGCCTAACTCTAAGGGTGTTTGGCGTTGATTGCTTTCTTCCTGGAGAGAACAACACGCAAGTATTCAGAAAATGCATTATTAGGGGTTTGATGCTTCTTCTATGAGACTTCCCAGTCTCATGTTCGTTTCCTTTCGATCGCATATCTCTCAACTTTACGTTACCCTTTTCCCTGTCACACTCTCACGTCTCAAGCATGAAAATTCACATTTAGAAGTATCAATGACACGGTTGGCCGGCTGGGTTGGCGTTTGTATACCATCTTTCTGCCCATGGCAGCGATGCGGATTCGTTGGCTGTTTTGTTAGACTGCATTTTGGGTTGTATTGCGATGCACTGGTCATGTCTTGATCGTTTTGGTTTTTCTCTGGTGTAACTGTCTTGGTCGAATCGTAGGCTGCTCTTGTATCAGTCCCGTCAGTAGCATTTCCTTTTTAATGTCTATGACAGTCTGTTTTTCATGACTGTTTATGTAATGCCATGATGACAGTAAAATTTATTTTCACTGTGTTTTCACATGGCACCACGTCTTGCTGTTAATGGCAGCAGAAACGAGCTTGCTCTACGTAGTACAAGTACTCTTCGGCCAATCTCGGCGCAATCGGAAAGCAAGTAGCAGCTCTAAACATCATGACCTCGGGATCAACCTACTAGTACAATTCCACTTTTACTCAATAACCCCGCAACGTCATTTTCGAGCTTCTGGGTCCATTGAACGCACGCTAATGGATACAGGAACGGACGAGAAACGGATGGAAGACCTGGGAGTGCAAAAGGTGCTGATCAATACTATAACTATTCTTGTATTTAAAGATAATATGAAGTGGCATTTACCCCACTATCCTACCACTATTACTGACTGCGTCGTTCCAATATCATTGCTACAAGATTCGAGTATATCCCTCTTGAACTAGTTAAGAATTCAGATCTTTTCTGGCCTAGAATACATTGTCTTGTCTAGAGGGAAGGAAAAGATATCAACCTGAATCAGACAAAAATGAAGGAAGCTCAGGTTTCTAAGGGAATGGTGGTTACGATCAAGGATGTTGAGATTCCACAGCCAGGTCCCAAGCAAGTCATTATCAAGGTTGTAGTGAGCGGAAGTAATCCTAAGGACTGGTAAGTTTTCTTCCTTTCTTTACCATTCACGCCATCCCCGTAAATCCTTTTCACCTCCAAGATATCGTTCCGATCTAACACAAGGACCAACAAACAGGAAACTCCCTGAAATGGGCTATATGAACGATGCCAACACAGGCGACGATATTGCCGGCTATGTGCACAGCGTCGGCTCCGAAGTCTACGAGTTCAAGCCAGGAGACCGCGTCGCTTCTTTCCACGAAATGATGACGCCTGGCGGCAGCTTCGCAGAGTACGCCGTAGGCTGGCAACACACGACTTTCCACATCCCCAAATCCGTGTCTTTCGAAGAAGCATCTACAATCCCCCTCGCCGCCATGACATCAGCAATCGGCCTCCAGTTGCGCCTCGGTCTCCCGGACCCATGGACTCCCGTGCCAGACGGCAAAAAGCTACCCCTAGTCGTCTACGGCGGCGCCACCGCCGTCGGCGCCTTTGCCATCAAAATAGCTCAAAAAGCGAATATTCATCCCATCATCGCCGTCGCAGGCCGCGGTATCTCCTATGTTGAATCGCTACTAGACCGCTCCAGAGGCGACACAGTCGTCGATTACCGCAACGGCGACGAAGCCGTCGTAAAAGGGATCCGAGATGCGCTTCAAGGAGAAAAACTTACTTACGCCTTTGACGGCGTGTCCGAAAAAGGCTCGTACATCAATATCAGCAAGGTGATTGAGCCCAATGGCGCGATTGCGCTCGTGCTGCCTAGTAAAAAGGAGGATGATCTACCGAAGACTTTGACGGTGACGATGACGCAGGTGGGGTCGGCGCATAAAGAGGATGCAGACTTTGCGCATGTCATGTTTAGGTGGATGGCGAGGGGGTTGCAGGAAGGCTGGTTTAAGGGACATCCGTTTGAGGTTGTGCCGGGGGGGTTGCAGGGTGTGCAGACGGGATTGAGGGATTTGAAGGAGGGGAAGGCGAGTGCGGTTAAGTATGTTTATAAGATTGGAGAGGAGTAAGAGTTTTTTTAAGGGTATGAGGTAGTGAAAAAAAGAGATTTATATATTTGAGGGTTAAGGGGTGGTCAGAAGAGGTCTAAGTGTGGTATGTCTTGCGTGATTCCACAGAGAGATAAGTATCTTTTTTTTCGATATAGCAACATGATTTACCTGATTCAAATTGTTGATGTGAAATTGTCTATACGTAGCGTGGCAACTAATAATGTCTACACGTTTGCTTTGACGGAAAGACACACCGGTTGGCTACAGTAATTTGCAGTCGGCAGTCTTATATCATGTCCTAAAGTATGTCAGTCCGCAGTACTCAACACAACAGAAGATGAGCATACACTAATATTTCACTGTACTTCTAGTAAATCGAATCCTAGTTCGAAACACGAATACTATACTTCCCACCCGCCAACTCAAACACCGCCTGCCCATCCTCAACCACATATTCCTCCCTACCCAAAACAACCTCATTAACCACCACCTCGCCACCCTCCCCCTCAACCGGCAACTTCACCACACCCCTCGTCCCCACCGGCGTCTCAACCACAACCCCATACCCCCCCTCCCCCCTCTCCCACTTAACCCTAAACACCCCCAACCCCGTCCTAAACCCCGCCTCCGCCCTCTTCAAATCCCCAAATCCGGGCTGAATCTCCCACCTCCTCCCCTTAGGCTCCATAACCCTTAATCCCGCCACCCACTCCGTCAACGCACTCGTCGGACCACTACTCCAGCCATGGCTATGACTCACATAACTAGCATCATTCTCATACCCCCTCTCCGCGCGATACCCAAACGTTCCATCCGTCCTGTACCCCTCGATGACGGTACTACTATACGTGCCGTTGAGGTGCTTAGCGTACCAGCCCCAGCTTCGGCGTATGAGATCGAGGCCGCGGTCTGCGCGGCGGGATTTAAAGTGCGCTTGGATTTCGAAGCCGGAGATGAAGGGGGAGATGTTACCGGGGAGTTCGGGGGGTTGGGCGCCAAGCGGGGTCCAGTTGAGGGTCAAGGCGGTGGAGATTGAAGATGCGGTTGAGGAGTTTGGTGGGACGAGGGAGAAGAGGAGGGCGAGGCTGTTGGCGTCTTGGGGGTGGAGAGATGTGCTTGTGGCATTATCGCGGAAGGCGCCGTAGGAGGGGTCGAAGGAGTGGGTTAGGAGGGCAGTTTGGAGGGAGATGGCGCGGGTGCGCCATGTGGAGGCTAGGGAGGTGGTGTCGTTGAGCCAGGTTGCGAGGAGGGCGCTGGCTTGGAGGGTGTGAAAGAGAAGGACGTTTGCGGCTGTGTTGTTGGAGCCGGTATTCCAGCGGCCCCAGTCGCGAGTACCGGTTTGATTGAGGAGTCCCGACGAGTCTACTTTGGCGTAGATGTAGTCAATGGCCTTGAGGTACTTGGCCCAGTTCTTCAGAACAAAGTCTGCGTCGCCAGTGTACAGCATGTAGTTGTACGTCCCGATCAGCGTCCACATATGGTACGTATCGCTCTTCTGCTGCAACAAAGGCGGCCCAGATTCCGGCAACGACCCATCCTCATTCTGATAATCAAACATGACCTGCAACGCATTCCGCACACTCTCCATATCCCCCGTACTCACAAACGCAGACGGCACCGCGATCCCCATATCCCCCGGCCAAACCGCCCGATCCCTCTTCGCCCCATCAACCAAGATACTCGACCCAGGCCCCAACGTCCCATTATTCGCCCACCCCTTGTCGAGCATAGGGACCCACCGCCCGGTATTCGGCGGCACAGCATTCGTTTGCAGCGTATACGCACCACCATACCAAATAGCATTAAGCCACGAGTCGTCACAGTAAAAATACCCCTGGTACGCGCGTAAATTCGACCACGTAGGCTGAAAACTCAATTCCAGCTGCGCATCAGTCAGTACAACATGCGTCGCCGTATCCGTAAGCAGGAACACAGTCATGTATTTAAACCCGCCTCTTAGCACCTCATCCGGCATCGTATACGACCCTGGTCCCGCGCCGCCGGAAACGTTGAAATACAACGCTCCATCTCCTTCTCTTGAGAATTTTCCGTTTGATGAGTCAGATGAGTAGCCGACCCAGTTCAGTGCTTCGGAGAAGGCGATACCGATGGTGCCTGTGCCGTTACTGGTATAGGTGAGCGTTGCAATGCCGCCGACTTCGTAGCCAAAGTCGAATACAACGGTCGTGCCGTTGCCGCGCAGAGTGGCGGTGCGCGGGTAGCTGGCGGGACGACGGTCGCGCAGTGTGAAGACGGAGCGGGGGCGCACGGTGCGGTTACGGGGTGCGTAGATTGATTGGTCCCAGGGTCCTTTTGGGTGACAATGTTAGGAGTAAGTTGGAGTGAAAATGAGAATTTCGGGGGGAGAGAGAAAAGGAGAGGTTACGGACCGGGGAATGCGGCTTCAGTTGGTCCTGTGCAGATGGTGTCTCGCCAACATCCTGCTGCTAAAATGTCCAATGGGAATAGTAAGAGTGTAATGATTGTCCATGCCAATGTTAACATAGCTATTGTGCTCAAGATGGACCCGTAAGATATCGATGATTCAGTGACACAGCTCGCGACTCAATTGTATATATCTCGAGAACACTATACACGACTCGGCATGCAATATGCCGAGCGGGCGCACCGGGCCGGGGACAAGTCGTATGCATGCAAGAAGATCAGCAATGCGGGGGAACGAGGTACATAGACGCCACAGTAAGACGATGGATCGTGCCTTGCATGTCACTGACTAACGCACCATATTCCATCATATCAACAAAGTCGTAATTCCGTCCTAATAGACTCGCAGCAGAGAAACCCGGCTATCCTTCCAACACCATCGATCTCACGTCTACAACTTTCCCTTGACCCCCTTCCCTAGAATCTCCTCCCTCCTCTTAACATCCACATCCCTCGGCCCCTCCTTCTTAAACTTCGCAGTGATGACCCACTCCCTAATCCCTCTCCTACCCTGTCCCTGGTCCTCCACTTCTTTGCCCGGTCGATCCAAAACAAGCACGGCTGTGCTCTTATCTACGCCGCCAATACCATCCTGCTCGCTCTCACCGTACTCACCCTTGCCTAAGACAATGGGCGAGATACAAGCTTCAGTGAACGGAACCTCAGGCTGGCCATTGTAGATGCGTGGCTTCTGCAGGAAATCAAGGAGTCTACCGCGCTCGGCCTGGAGTTCAGATAGCGAGGGAGTAGGTGAAGATGGCGAAGTTACGGTTGCAGCTAGATACGGGGAGAGCATGAGTGTGAGGAAGAATTGCGGGGGAAACAAGATGATTCTGTTTTGCCGTGCGAGATCAATCCATTTGTTTGGAGGTAAGAAACGTGCGGCAGTATGTTCGATGCCTCCGTCGTGCCTGGGCTTCGGAATGATGATTTCGGCCTCTTCTTCCAGGCCCGAAGCGGGTGGCGTGCCCTGGAGAGCAGTATGCTTTGTTGGTGACCCAGAGCCAAGAGGGAGCAGGTAAATATACATTTGTGTCGTAAAACGCTTGGGCAGGCTCTCGGGCGTTACCTGTGGCGTTACCCAGCGGGTAAAGGGAATTAGTGATTCAGTGTCGGGTACTGCTCCCCATTTTTCCAACAAGTCTCCAAACTTGATTTCGCCGCTATGAACGGCTTTTCTACCTTGCTCTCTTTCCTCATCGCTGATTTCGGTAAATAGTTTACCAGTCTTCTTGCTCTTGGCTAGGACGATACCGCATTCTTCAAATGTCTCGCGGATGGCTGCCATGCGATATGCGGGTCCATCTCGATGCCTGTCAGGATGGTCTGGACCAGGCATCTCGCCATCGTGGGTCTTTGAGACTGCACCACCAGGGAAGACATGTGCAGAAGCAAAGGTAGAAGCCTTTGACACGCGATGGAGGAGCAAAATTTGATTTGTTGGAGATATTAAGAGTACGCTTGGTATTTTTAGCATGTGTCGTGTAACAAGTTCGGCTCGTTGCCTATCAATGTAATTTGGACTCCAGCCTACCTTGCGCTTGGCCTGGGAACAACAGGCGTCTTGGCCGGTTTCTTGGGCGATTGATGATCTGGCCTTGTAGACATGCTGCACTTCTGGAGTCTAAGTATCCCTCGCTGGTCAAGAGGTAAGCTTGTTGTCAACCAGAGCAAGGGTCGCGCGTGGTGCTGCAGTAGAAGAGTTGAGGATGAGCGAACAGCTGGTCGTATCGGATTCTGAAAACTCGACAATGAGAATTGGGCTTTGATCTTGAGCGAGATTGGATTTGTTTTGAGCATAGCTAACAAAGAGAGGGCGTGGTCAACACATGTGAAGTGTAGGTGGTATGACACGGGAAGAAGCCGAGGTTAAACCTAGCGCGGTGAGGGACGCGGGTCAAGATGTCGTTGGGAAATCCGCGGCAGCATCACCCTCTCTCCGCTCAAAATACAGTTTGTACGTTAAAAATGAACAGAGTTCATGGTATCATTGCTTTTTGGCCTATCCATTGCTCCAATAACGTGTAATCATCAGTCATCTTTGCATATCGCGTGTCTAATAATGAGAGAATCCTATAGCCCAACAATCCGCTTAACGCCCTCCCAATGCATTGAATCACTTTTGTCCCTCAATCGCCTAAGAGTAGAGCTTCTTATCGAAGCTGTGCAGTCCGTGGACGTTACCCTCAGCCTGTGCGCTGGCAGTTCGCAATTCGAACCTGACGGTTCCGTTTGAAACACCCTCGTGGAGCTCTGTAAGGCTCTTGACACCAATGTCCTGCAGAGAGTGCTGAACACCAGCCATAAGGTAGGGAACGAACTTGGTAATGGAGCCACGGTCCTGGACAGATCCAGAGACACCCTGAGCGACCAAGACACGGTCACCCTCGGAGAAGTAGCGCGCAGTACCAGCATTGCTGGCCTTGGAGTCTTGAGCACCGCCTCCTGCCTTCTTGTCTTCCATAGCAGCGATACTGCCCATACCACGGTAGGCCTTGACGAGCTGACCGTCGCGGCTGACAAAGTACTCTCCAGGAGACTCGGTGGTGCCGGCAAGAAGACCACCCATCATGACAGTGGATGCGCCCATGGCGAGACCCTTGACAATGTGGCCAACGTTCTGGATACCACCATCGGCAATGCAGGGCACGCCGAATCGTCGGGCAAAAGACGTGACGTTGAAGACAGAAGTGGCTTGGGGCCTTCCAACAGCCATGACTTCCTGGGTAATGCAGGCGCTTCCACTGCCCATACCAATGCGCAGACCGTCGGCCCCGGCGGCGATAAGCGCAGCGGCTTGTTCGCGGGTGACGACGTTGCCGCCAATGACATCAAGCTGGGGGTATGTCTGCTTGACGTACTTGATCATTTCGATCTGGTACATGCTGTTACCCTGGCTGCTGTCAAGGATGACAATGTCGAGACCAGCGTCTACAAGCTTCTGCAGACGAATCTTGTCCTCTGGCCGGGTACCAATGGCAGCGGCAGCGATCAACTGCTTGGAGTGGGGGAGCTTAGAGGCAAGAGGGAAGTTGAGGTTCTTCATCAAGTCGGAGCGCGACAGCAGCGCAATGAGGTTGAAGTTCTCATCAACAATGGGAAGCTTGCCCTTCTTGGACTTGTTGAGGATGTCATTAGCCTCCTTGAGCTCGACGCCGTGGCGGGCAGTTACGAGGTCGGTCGACATAACCGCAGTGACGGGGTCGTCGAGCTTGTCGTGGAACTGAATGTCGCGGGGTGTGATAATACCAACAAGCTTAGAGCGCAGGGTACCATTCTCTGCAGCCATCGTTAGCAATTGCGCATTGCAAGAACTGAAAAAATTGGCAAATTTGAAGCATTTCAGGCATATTTTCTCCACAGCACGACGGAATCGTTGCGGATGAACGAAAGTTAAAAATTGAAAAGGTAATCATCACAATGCAAGGGGGCAGAAGGAGTGCGTCTGACTTACCAGTGACGGGGAAGCCACCGAATCCCCACTTCTCCTTGAGGGCCTTTGCCTGTCCAACGGTAGTGGTGGGCGAAATGACGACAGGGTCCAAGATGAAGCCGTTCTCAAAGCGCTTGACCTTGCGCACCATCTCGGCTTGGTCCTCCTGGGAGCAGTTGTGGTGGATGACACCAAGACCTCCGAGGAGCGCAATGTGGATCGCCATGTTGTGCTCAGTGACCGTGTCCATGGGGGAAGAGATAAAGGGGGTCTTCAGGGAAATGCGCTTCGTGATTGGGGTATCAAGGGCAACCTCAGCCGCGGGGAAGCCTGTGGCCCTGTTAGGATGCTGCGATTACATGGCCAGAGTGCCAAAAAAAAGTTTGTGTTCGGCAGGGTAGGCCTGGGATGGCAAAATTGCGAGGCAAACGCACCAATGTAGCCGGGAAGCATGAGGAAGTCATTGTAGGTCAGACCGCCGTTCTTCTTGGAGTCGATGAGCGTCTTGACATCAATGCCATCGTGCTCAGGATACTCGTTCTTGAGGATCTCAAGCGCCTTGGTGTGGTCCAGGGCGTCGACGGTGGTGTTGGTCATGGCGTCGCCGTTTGAGATGGGCATGACGTGAAAATAAAAGAAAAATGCTTGTCGAGGAACAGACAAGAGCTGCTGGGGTATCACTGAAAGAAAATAGACCGTGGTTCTTTGAGCAAAGACAGCGGCCGGGGAAAGTTGCAAGCTTTCCCAAGAGAAAAAAAAAAGTGTGAGAATGACGGCGGGGAAAGAATTTCAGTGGGCGCGCGAATGCCAAGGCCGAGTCCGGTTCAGGTGACCCCGCCTTTTAGCGTGTCGGCGGGCGCGTCGCAAGAGAAAGGCATCGTTGGCGTCGAGGGCAGCGCGACCGGCTGCGGCAAGGATGGAGCGAGTTGTGCCAAAAGGGCGAGAAGATGGCGACGTGGGCGAATTTATCTCAGGCCGTCTCGAGTGACGCTAGACGACGTGCGCTGGGACGCATTGGCTCCCCGTGCAAGAGGCGCTGTCCAAGTAGCGGTGTCCACCCTCTGTGCAGACGATGCAGACGAGACGGACGCTGGCCTCTTGCGCGAAATGAGGCATCGAGACACAACCACCACCACCAGGGCTCCGAGGGCTGACGAGCGCTAACACATTGCTTTGCCAGAACCCCCCCGTTGGGATGGGATGAGAATTGGGGGGTGACGTGACGGGCGGGTCGAGAAGCGTCTGGTCGGCTGGCCTCGGTTGGCTCGACAACACACACTGGCAGCCCGAGTAAACATGGGCCCGAAAGCTTGGACTCAACCACACGTCCATTTGCAGTCTCAACGCCGTAGTCTTCATCCTACGATACCCCATTTCCCGCCCTTCTTTACCCTCGTTGCCCGTGCAGACTCGACTTGCGCGCCTGGTCGCAGGGCTGAATCCGCTTCCTTTGGGCTGTGTGCGCTCTTTTCGTTTGTCCGGCAGTCGCCTCCACCATCAATCTCTTCTAATATCCGGGCCTCCATGACGGCCTCTTGAGCCTCACCTGCAAACAACATTGACCAGCCTGCCTCGGATCCCGTGCAACATATGCTGTCCCGCACCCCGTCGCACCCTCGCCCTCTGCCCTCACCATGAGTTACCTGACGACCCCACGCACCAGACTGGGCCATCCGTCCACAGCGCCTTCCCCACTCCGCCAGACATCAACCGCCTCGACTGCCTCGTCAAGCCGCTCAGATCAACATCCTCCAAGCCGCTCAAGTACACAGTCCAGCAATGCCTCGGCCGGCTACTCGTCCTTTGGCCACCGCCGCGGAATGAGCGAGGCCGCCGGACTCTTGACACGGCGGACAGACGACTACTATACACCTCCAGAAGCCGAGCCCAGCGATACGTATTCGAGTATGCGCAAGGCACTGCGCCCGCTACAGCAACCCCCCGCAAACCCGCCCTCGCCCGAGAAACTGACAAGACATGCAACCTTTGCGAATCCGCCATCCCCGGAGAAGCCATTGCGACCCTCGACCCCAATAAGCCCATCGTCTGCCGAGAAGATCCTACGACCACCAATTTATTCAAACCCGCCCTCGCCCGAGAAGCTTCTGCGGCCTGCCACAGCCAGCCCTACACGGAGTAACAGCCACATGCGTTCCCAAAGTGTCGAGAACATATACGCCCCATTTGATAGCTCCGTCTCCCCGACCGAGAAGGCTCGTCCGCTTTCGCTAGCCGTATCACGAAATGACTCTGTCCGCGCACCCACTCGTGACCATTCTTCTCGACCGCTGTCACTTCACCTGGAACGACCAGAACTCAAGACCTTCCAAAAGTCATCGACAGGCCATCTCCGTACCCTGTCTAAATTCGCAGAAACCGCCACCGATGACGACTTTGCTATCAAGTCGCCCGAGCAGCAGGTCGTGGGTCTCAATGGGCGGAGAAGGCTTCAGCGGACAGACTCGGCACGACAAAAGTCGGCATCTACCTGGTCGAGCCGCAACTGGATGGATCAGCAGCGCCAATTCTTGCAGGCATACGAGTATCTTTGTCATATAGGAGAAGCCAAAGAGTGGATGGAGGACATCATCGAGACCGACCTGCCCCCAGTAGTAGAGCTAGAAGAAGCGCTTCGAGATGGTGTTACCCTGGCAGAAATTGTCCAGGCTGTCAAGGGACAACCGTTGCGCATTTTCCGGGACCCCAAACTCCAATACCGACACTCCAACAACTACGCGCATTTTTTCAAGTTCTTGTCCGAGATTGAACTGCCGGATCTCTTTCGCTTTGAACTAATCGATCTTTACGAAAAGAAGAATGTCCCAAAAGTCATCTACTGCATACACGCCCTTTCCTGGCTCTTGTTCCGCAAAGGCATAGTCGACTTCCGCATTGGCAACCTGGTCGGAAAACTGCAGTTTGAAGATCACGAACTCGAGGCAACCCAAAAAGGTCTAGACAAGTCTGGTGTTAGCATGCCCAACTTCTCGGGCATGCAGGCAAACTTCCAGGTCGAGCCAGAACCAGAACCAGAGCCAGTCGAGTCAGAAGATGAACGCATCGATCGCGAGCTGGCCGAGAACGAAGGCATCATACTGGATCTGCAAGCGCAGATCCGGGGTGCCCTAGTCCGGATACGTTTGGGCATGCTGATGCAAGAGCTCTGGGATCAGGAACACCTCATTGTCGATCTCCAAGCCCGTGTCCGAGCTGATTGGGCCCGCCAAATCGCAAACTACCGGTTGGACATGCGCCGTTTTGCCATGACTTTGCAAAGTGCCGCAAGAGGGTTCCTAGTCCGGTCGAGACTACAGGGCGAAGAGCAGTACTGGCAGGACAAGACTCCACAAGTGCTCAAAATACAGAACCTGTTCCGTGGACGCAAGGCCAGGGCTCAAGTTCAGTACACAAAGTCAAAAATCGAGCGTCACGAGCACGGCATACGCGAGTTCCAAGCAGCGATACGTGGAGCATTGGAACGTAAGCGTGTTGCTGAACGATACGAACGAACCCGAAACACTGAGCCGATTGTTGTCGACGTGCAGGCTATGATCCGTGGTGCCCTTGTCCGAGCAAAGGTCGATCAACAGTGGGCAGACTTGCAGCAGAGTGAACCTCAAGTTGCTCAGCTGCAAGCTGCTGCGCGAGCCATGCTTCTCCGCCAATCAATGCGCACAGATCAGGAAGGCCTTCGCCAACAGGAATCTACAATCACCCTCCTACAGTCTGCCATGCGAGGCCTCCTCGCCAGAAACAAGAATGCTGCAGTACAGGAGAACCTGGTAAGCACCAAAGTCGAGTGGTCCGGTCTTCAGTCTCGCGTTCGTGCCAATGTTGCGAGAAACTCTGTCAAGCAGATCCAAGAAGCCCTTCATGCAGAGGAGCCTCAAATCACGGATTTGCAATCTATGGCGCGAGCAGGAAAGATGCGTTCCGAAATTGCCAACATGCTTGCACAATTTCAGGACCAAGAAAGCAATGTTCTGTCTTTTCAGTCTCACATTCGTGGTTTCCTTGCGCGGCAAAGACACTTTTCTGACCTTGGAGAACTCCAGGCACAGGAGCCCGCTATTCTCGATCTGCAATCTGCCTGCCGTGGTTTCATGCAGCGTCAAAGAACATATGAGACGCTTTGTGAGCTCAACGCTCAAGAACCCGAGATTGTTGACCTTCAGGCTGTAGCCCGTGGCATGCTGCAGCGCATGCAAATTGGTCTGCAGCTTGGTCAAGCGGAAGAGCATGAAGAAGCCATCATTGATCTGCAGAACATAGCTCGTGGCATGTTGATCCGACGAAGATTCCAAGAGAAGCAGCAATTCTACAGGGAAAACATGGAAAAGGTCATCAAAGTACAGAGCTTTATCCGTGGTCGTCAGCAAGGTGAGGCGTACAAGAGCTTGACTAGCGGAGCGAACCCACCAGTGTCGACTGTCAAGAACTTTGTACATCTCCTCAACGACAACGACATTGACTTTGACGAAGAAATTGGTAAGCCATAGCCCATATGTCCTGATGAAGAAATGCTAACACTGTGTCAGAATTTGAGCGTCTGCGAAAGACGGTCGTCCAGCATGTACGACAAAATGAGCTCGCCGAGCAGTATGTTGATCAACTCGACATCAAGATTGCTTTGCTTGTGAAGAACAAGATCACTCTGGATGAGGTCGTCAAGCATCAGAAACATTATGGAGGCAATGTCGGAACTCTTCTCAGCAGCAAAGATATCTCGTCCAAAGACCCCTTCGATCTCAAGGCCCTGAACAAAAACTCCCGCCGGAAGCTTGAGCAGTACCAAGAGCTGTTCTTCATTTTACAGACACAACCTCAGTACATGGCCAGGCTTTTCAGGCGCCTACGTGAACAGAACCTTCCCGAGGGTGATACTAAGCGCATCGAACAACTTACCATGAGTCTCTTTGGACTTGCCCAGAAGCGTAGGGAAGAATACTGGCTACTGAAACTCTTGACCCGATCGCTGAAAGAGGAGATTGAGAGCTGTGGCACATTGCACGACTTCGTTCGCGGTAACTTTTTCTGGGCCAAACTCTTCGCCAACTATGTTCGATCACCTCGCGACCGTAAATTCTTGAAGGATGTTTTGGGCTCCGTCATTCGCGAGAACATTATCGAGAATGAGCATCTGGATTTGGAGAGCGACCCCATGCAAATCTACCGCTCAGCGATCAACAACGAAGAGCTCCGTACTGGCCAGCGAAGCCACCGTGACCCGAACGTCTCGCGGGATGTAGCTTTGAAGGATCCTGAGACTCGTGGAACCTTCATTCACAACCTCCAAGATCTCCGAGATGTTGCCGACCAGTACTTCACAATGTTTGAGGAAGTCCTCCATCGCATGCCTTTTGGTGTACGATACATTGCGCAACAAATGTTCGAAGAACTTCGCCTCAAGTTCCCGTATGAACCACAAGAGCAGCTCCTCCAGATCACTGGTCACTGGGTCTGGAAAAGCTATATTCAACCTGCTTTGCTGCAACCTCAGCACTGGGGTGTGGTTGACCGTGGCTTGTCGCCTCTGATGAACCGGAACCTTGGTGCAGTTAATAAAGTGCTTGGTCAGATCGCAGTCGGCAAGCTATTCGGCGGTGATGATCTCTATCTCCAACCACTCAACAGCTACATTACCGAAGCTATTGACCGCCTGCAAGACATCTGGTCGAACATGATCAATGTCCGCCCTGCTGAGGCCCAGTTCGAGATTGACGAGTTCAACGACCTCTTTGCAAGAACCAAACCTACACTCTACATCAAGCTCGCCGACGTTTTTGCCATCCACAACCTCGTCATTGACGACCTTCCAAACCTCTGCCCTGCGCAAGACGACCCACTTCGCGAGGTTGTCCGTGAGCTCGGTAGCGCAAAAAACAACGAGAATGAATTGTTGCATGTCAGCGCTAGTGAAATAACTCTCACTCTTAACCCCAAATATCATGAACAAGAAGGTAAGAATCCCGGTCCTGATGCGAAGATGCTTGCTAATCAACCTAGATCCCGACTCTGCTATCAAATCTCTCTTCATGGAAACCAAGCGATACGTCCTCTACATCATTCGTGTTCAGACTGGCGCCAACCTCACAGAGATCATGTGCAAGCCTGTCACGCCTGAGGACGAGGACCGATGGGATGCTCTTGTTAGTGAAGAAATTATTGCTCAGCGGAAAGACCGCTCGCGACGACAAAACAACGTGGTACGCTCATCGGCTGCTTCTACTTACACGACAGATATGAGCGCAAACTCTGTGCTGGATCTCGACTACACCACACTCAAACAATACTGCCTGGAGAACATGGTGCAACTTCAACGCGCAGGCCGCATCTCCCACACCAACAACTACCAGGATCTCCTCAACGCCATTGCAGTCGACATTCGCACCAAGCACCGAAGACGTATCCAACGCGCCAAGGAACTGGAAGGTGTACGCACTACGCTGGCCGCGCTCGACGAGAAGGCACACTTCCTGGAATCTCAATTAAAATCGTACAACGACTACATTGAACAAGCCATGATTACGCTGCAGTCGAAGAAGGGCAAGAAGAAGTTCTTGCTCCCTTTCACCCGCCAATACAATCACCAGCGTGAACTGAAGAACAGCGGTCGCGAGTACCGCTTTGGGTCATTCAAGTACTCTGCACGCAACCTTGCTGAAAAGGGTATTCTCATTTCCTGGTCAGGCTACCACGAGCGCCAATGGGACCGTCTAGATATTACCATTTCCAGCAACCAAACGGGTATCTTTGAGATCCAGGGTTCGCAAGGGTCCATGATGATCCCTGGTGCGTTTGCAGAAGTCCCGCTTGATGGCCTGCTACAGGCTCAATTCGACAATCACCAGTTCATGAATCTCTTTGGTGGCGAGGCCGGCAAGGGCGGTGGTGAGGGTATTGCGCGGGTCAACGTCAACTTGTTCCTGCATTTGATTTTCAAGAAGTTTTACCGGGATGAGTAGGTGGATTTAGCATGGTATAAGAGGAAGGAAGGGTAATCGTGTATATCTTTGATTGCGTACGCTAGCGTTACTGTTTTGTAGGCGTTTTTTTTTCGGGTTGTTGCTAGGGAAAGAGATGGCTGGATGGGAGCATGCACGGAATGCACATGACCTGGTGTTTTGGGCGAGGAAGTGCTGACCGGGACTCTTAGGAATATGGGTATACCTCTTTCTGGTTTTTTTCTTCTTCTACTTTTTAACCCTTTTTTTCGGGGGCCTCTTTGAAAGGCCGCTCTTCTTTTTCTCTTTACTTTTATAAGTTGATACCTGCATATATATCCCTGATGAGTGCGCATGGATGAGAAGACGAAGAGATGAAGGTGTATTCTTTCACTTTCTTTTTCGAAACACGGGCTTTGCTGACTTGAATGTTGAATGATGCTTTGGCATGCGCCTGGTACTATGTATCCAATAGTTGGAATGATATTAGATACGAAGAGAATGAAAGAAATGAAAATTTTCCATGCATTTGCTGCCTGTGTGATGTTGTTTTAAATTATTCTTTCTTGATGAATTTTTTTGAAATACACTAGTACGTCTCGTGAATAATCATAATCGTACACATGCCAATAAGGTCGGTCAACATGTCAATTCTTCTAGATATATCATCGAATATAGTCATTTTCACCGCATTTCGGCAGCTTCTTCAACTGGATGGGCATCCTGAGTCCAAGACGGCTGGAAACTCAGACCCAAGCAAGACCTGGAGTGAACCTTGAAATCTTGGCAAGAACGATTTCCTAAACCAGACATCCAAAGCATCCAGACCGTTCCTTCGCAACTCAATAAAAATCTCTGCACACTCGTTGTCGCGAAAAACGCAATCACCGTTATCTCGGCAGTTATCCGATGGCCAAGTCCATCGCGCATCGGCGTCCAGCGATGGTGAAGAAGCGCAAAATTTGACGCCATTCCGTCCTGCACGGTTACCAAAGCTCCCCTTGTCCGCGGCAGACTTGCATCGTCATTGGCTACCTGCATCAACCAGCAACAAGGTTTAGGACGGGCCTCTCCATCCTCTGTGGAACCTCTATCATTACCATAGTCAACGGCACTTTTCAAGCTACATACCAACTCTCGAGCTGAAGAATGGCCACCGATCAAATGTATGATGAACGCATCACTTACATACAAGACGGGCTTAGTAGCACGTGGCTATACGGCATAATGGACGATCCGTGTGAAAGCACCGCGAAATATGGTCACGCGCGACACAACGCCCAGGACAACGACAGCGCGCGTACTGCCGGCTGCATGTCGCTCCGCATCCCCCGCTTTCTACACTCGGTCTGTGTCGCCTGCATATATAGAACCCTGATTTCCCTTTCGCTTTTTGAGGGACCCTATGTGTTACAGGAGGTTTTCTTTTCTCCTTCCATCTTTATCTGATCCAATTGAAGAGGGTCTTTGCTCCCGAAACACGCTGCGGTTGGCACAATCTATATTTTTGTTTTGCCATTCCGCGGTTAAAGTTTCAGGGCACAAGGGGACTGGGGGTTGGTGCCGCAAAAACGTCATTCCTACATAGTCGCTCACAAACCCTCGGGATCTTGTTCCGTGCCAGCTACGAAAGAAAGGAAAAACTGCGATTTGGGGGAACGCGTAGCTGGGAAGACACTGGGAGAGACACAAACAAGAGAAGCTCTACGGGTCTTTTGTCAAGAGAAAAAGAGAATAAAATCGCATCACCACCACAATGTCGCTCTCGCAACGCGTAACGTCGATAGAGGAGCATGAGCCATGGAGTCGAGAAGCCAGCCCCGACTCACGGCACCGCAAAATGAGCTTCAACCCCGTTGGCACATGGACAGAGCAAGCAGGCGAAGAGCCCACCATCGGCGCGTTCGAAGTGCCGCAATGGAAAAGACTGTGTACGTCGACATGCAGGGACGCGCGCGCCGTGGGACATACTGAAAGCTAATACTCCGTGTAGTACAAGTGTTTTTCGCCGTCGTGTACTGTCTCTTCGCTGCAGGCGTCGTGTTCGGGTATGCAGCCATCAAGCCGGTATTGCTCGAAGAAGGAGTGTACAGAGATTACTGTAGCAAGGAAGAGCTGGATAACGATGTTCGAGTGTGTTATGAGCAGGAGCTCAGGCTCAATCTCATGTTCACGATTGCGGCTGTGTCGACGAATGTTGTCGCGCTGCCTGTTGGCACGATTCTGGATCGCTATGGACCACGAGTTTGCGGTATAACGGGTGCGATATCCATCACCATTGGCGCATTGCTCTTTGCTTTCGCCGCAGAGCTTCCCTTTGACGCATACATCCCCGGCTACCTCTTTCTCGCGCTCGGCGGACCCTTCACTTTCATCTCGTCTTTCCAGCTCAGCAACACCTTCCCCCAGTACTCCGGGCTGATCCTCGCGCTGCTAACCGGCGCCTTTGACACCTCGAGCGCCGTCTTCCTCGTCTACCGCCTCATCTACCAAAGCACGCACGGCTCCTTCTCCATAAAATCCTTCTTCCTCCTCTACCTCATCGTCCCCGCCTTCATCTTCCTCGTCCAAGTCCTTTTCATGCCCTCGGTCTCGTACAAAACCGTCGGCGAACTCGTCACCACCGCCGACGAAACAACAGTCATCCACGACTCCGACGACGAAATCGAAGACGCCGCAACCGTCCAGTCTTTGCGCGACGCCCGCCGCGCCCACCGCGACAGCATCGTCAGCGAAATCACATCGCTGCTCGGCACAAAGAACGGCCTCGACCAAGCCAAGGCTGAGGAAAAGAAGAAGGATATCTCGGGCGTCTGGGGCGCACTGCATGGTTTGAGTGCTTCCCAGCAGATTCGCACCCCTTGGTTCATCCTCATCACCCTCTTCACCGTCCTCCAAATGACGCGTATAAACTACTTTGTCGCTACCATCCGCTCGCAGTACACTTACCTCTTCCACTCCTACCCCCAAGCCGTCGCCATCAACAATTTCTTCGACGTTGCTCTTCCTGTCGGCGGTGTCCTATCCGTCCCGTTTATCGGCTTGTTGCTGGATAACACAAGCACGGTATTTACGCTAGCATTGCTGGTCACGATTGCAACGACAATTGGCGTCTTGGGCGTCATCGCGCAGACATGGGCTGCGTATGCTAATGTTGTTTTATTCGTATTGTATCGTCCGTTGTACTATACTGCTGTTTCGTAAGTTTCTCTTTTCACCCTGTTACCTTGAACCATCCCCCCCCTCTCCTCAAGGTTCAAGTGCACGTGAGCTAACACGAATAAAAACAGCGACTACTCCGCCAAAGTCTTCGGCTTCGCCACCTTTGGCAAAGTCTACGGCCTCATCATTTGTCTCGCTGGTCTCCTCAACTTCTCTCAATCCGCACTCGATGCCGCCACTCATAAAATCTTCAATAATGATCCTGTTCCTGTTAATGTTCTCTTGCTTAGTCTGGCGCTCCTGGTCGGAATTGCGCTTGTGGGTTATGTGGGGAAGAAGAGTAGGGGTTTGAAGAGGCTGAGTGTAGAGGAGGAGGCGCAGGAGGCTAGGGAGAGTCTTATTCCGAGTGCGGCGGGGGGAAGTGCGGGTGAGGGGAGTGGGTATGGCGGTGTGGCCGTGAATGGGTGGGGGGAGGAGGAGGAGGAGGATAGGGGACGGAGGATGTAGAGAGAGAGAGAGGGTGATTTCTTGTCATTTGAGACTTTATAAAAAAATTGTCGCGCTGTTTTTTTTGGGGGGGAGGGGGGGGTTAAAAGGTTTGGGATGAGCATGGCGATGGCGTTTATTTTTCTTTCGTTTACATCTGTGTACTATAGTAATGCCACTACGGATGATGTGCAAAAGATTTGAAATCTAAAAAAGTTTTTTTTTTGATTTTATTTTTCATCTTCCCCATGTTGTCTTACTAATATTTAAATCCCATGGATAAAAAAAAACCCCCTTGTCAACTTTTTTTAACTGAATAATTGTGTAAAAAAAAACCCCCCCAACACCCCAAATGCCGCTTGTTATCAATGTCATAAATATCTCCTCAAAAAAAAATATCCAATGTATATATATCCTAATCTTTCTTTACCTCATGTATACAACAATCTCATGCACCCCCCTCCCCCTCCACAGCACTCCCCAAACTCCCCTCCCCCATCCACCCATGCCCAATCCTCCCCGTCCCCGCACTCCTCCCTGTCATCCTCCCCGACTTGGCCCTAAAATACCTGGCCTCTTCAAGCGACGGATTCCGCTCAACCCACACCCCCTTCTCGCTCTCAAACGCATACCCATTATACCAACTCTCGGTGAGCGCCTCGCTACCATATTCTTCTAGGAGAACTTCTTCGTAGGCAAAAGGTACTTTGATGGCCACTTTTTCGAGGTAGGAAGTGCGTAAGGGGTATATTTGCGAGGAGAGGTAGGCGTGTGTGTCTTTGACGTAGAGTTGGATTTCTTCAGAGTATGGGTCTGGTTCGTGGGGGGAGGGGTGGGTTGTGAAGGATGGGGTAAGGGAGAAAGGGTCGTCTTCGTTGTTGTTGTTAAGGTCGGATTCTTGGGCGGAAGAAAGGGGGGCGATGTGGAGGGTTGTGATGTCGATGTAGAGACCGTTGGAGGTGTCGATCCAGCGGGCGTCGATGAGGTTGTACTTGTCTGATGTGGATTTGTTGTTGTAGTTTGGGTTGACTTCGAGCAGGTATTTCTTGCCGTTTTCATGCACTTCTTGTTCCCAGGCTAGGCGCTTGGAGCGGGCGGTGTCGTCTTCTTTGGGGTCCGACTCGTCGTCTTGCGCGGCGTGACGCTCGCTGGCCCAGCGGTTGCTTTCGGCGGAGCGGGCGTCGTCGAGGCCGAGAGAGGCGGCGGGGAAGTGGTGGACGGTCATGTTCCACCATTCGCCTAGCTCTTGCATGCCTTCTTCTTCGACGAGAAAGTCGAGGTCTTTGTCCCATGGCATGAGACCGCCGTTCCACCACCACCCAAGCAGACACCCGTGCATGATCCATGTTTGGATTCCAATCTGGTCCATTGTCTCTGTATATGCTTTGAGCATCAGCCGTAGATTCCATACCCGTTCCCGGAAGGGAAGCTCGGCAGAGGCAAAGCGCCCATCGTAGTGCGAATTGAACGTGGATTCGTAAAAGTACTTTGTAGGTGCGTGTTTGTACGTGTGGCCGTTGGAGAAGGAGTTGACCAGTGGCGTCAAGCCACGGAGGGCGCGAAACGATGTGCTACGGCGAGCAACGGGCACGGGCACGGCGGTGGTGAGATGAACGAGGTGCACAATTAGGAGAAGAGTCTCGAGCGGAAGTCTCATAGTGACTGCGGAATTGTTTGTATGAGGCGCATTGTCCTATGGGTGGATGGCTGGATAAGAATGTTGGGAACGCCCAGATGCGACTACGGTGCGAACAGGAGGACAGAAAGCACCATGGACGACTAAGCCTGTGGCTTACGGCAAAGGTATCCGTCCGATAAAAAGAAACAATGACAAAGGGAGGGTCGAGGGAAGGTTGTCGCGTGCTCACATGTTGAGCGTGCGTATCTCCTCATGTACACACGGCGCGCAGATCGAGGATGCGCCTAGGCGTCGTCACCCCCCGTCTATTCCCGGCCCACCTTTACTCTTCATGGTCAAGCGGTGGTCAAGCCTTGGGAGCTGGTGCCGTCGGAGAACCCGTCAATGCTTATTTAGTACAAAAATGAACAACGCTGGTAGCAGTGTGCGGGGACAGCCGCGTGTCAGTTGAGGGAGATCAAGGTTGTGGGTGTAATGCGTGATCCACCTTTTGCAACCCCCGAGTGTTGGGGGCTTTTGCGTAGGACGAGCACGTGCGGGCCCTCACCCCTGACGACAGGGCAAACACCTCACCTCGACGTAAGTGGACGTCTAGCCGAGAATGTACATGTACTTATGACATCGAAGGAATCCTCGAGGACCCGAGGAGGCGTAAAGATCTCACGATGAAGTGGGGACATCCGGCATGAAGCGATCCGGACAAGCACATCATGAACTTGACGGCGCCAATCACGCAAGCATATCCGCTTCGGATCATCGGGTGACTTGCATCCAAACCCTGAGCGTGCCGTGCGGTACAGTCAACTTACATACTGCCGCGACGTGTACCATTCACTACCCATGAACACATACTAGAACAATGCATACAACCATCACAAGACAATGAGGAACCAAACAAGTCATTTATTTCGGACATTATGTGATTATTTGTATTGCATTTTCATAAATGTACAACCACAGTTCAGAGACCAGCCTCGGGTGGGGTTTCGCCGTAGGAATAAAAGAGCCCGGGTACAAGTTTCCCATCATCTACACATATCAACATACTGAACGTCGGACAAATAAACTCCCAAATCCCCCACTGCCCTCCCCGTTCCACAATCCGAAACAGGCTTCTTTTGTAGCCCAACCCGAAACGCTGGCCAAATGAGCGGACGCCGGGTTCGTCGGCTGATTACACTTCCCGCGACTTTTCGTGTCAAATAAAAGGTATACGCTGAGAAGATAACACACACTCCGGAGCTCGTGTGCGGTGCCGGAGAGACCAAGGAAACTGTGCGCACAATCAAATATTCCTGGGGAAAAGAGAGACAAAGAAAACGAAGATGAAAAAAACGCCTGGATACGCCGCCCGATGGTAAGACGCCACAATGGTGAACGTTGGACGATGCAAGAACCCAAAGGTAAACAAGAATCTATAAACAGCCGCGTTTGCGGAGCCGAACAACCAGTCGGCAAACAGCGAGTCCGCAACAGCCAGCGATTAAAGGGGTATATTTGCGAAGCAAGCGAAGTCACTCAGACCCCTTCTCGTATTTGACAGGGTGGAAGAGTGTGTTGCGCATACACAACCGGCCTGTGCCGGCCTCTTCCTCGGCCGCACCGCCCTTGTCGTTTTCGCGCGAGCCAAGCCACCTTCTCCACCACTCGGACGAGAAAGCAGCGTTGTAGTAGAAGCTGTTGCCCAGTTGGTTGTGCTCACCCCAGCCGAAGACGCTGTCAGTGGGCTTCGGAGGTCGGTTGAAGGTTCCCTCGAGAATCTCAAGAGGCCAGTTGTGGTCAAAGTAGACGGGGTGTGCGGCGTAGACGGCCTTGAGTCCGTGATGAAAGGCAACGGTCGGTGGCCACATTTCGGGGAACATGTGGTGCTTCATCAGGTATGTTTCGCGGTGCATGAGGTCCAAGAGGCGCTTCGACAGACGCGAGACGGTGATGATGGCGCAGCGTCGCGGGGGTTCTGGAAGCTCGAGATCGTAGCCGGTAACGTCGTCGCGGAACACCCAGTTGGTCTTGGCAGGGTCGAAGATGGGGTTGAAAGTGATGATATCGGCTTCTTCACCAACACCCCACTCGTAGTTGTCCTGGAGATAGGAGTGGGGTGGCTCGACCTCTGGAGGGCTGGGAAGCATACCAGTGTTGGGGAACTTGGGAGGACCCCAAACTGGCTTCTCGTCGCTGTTGTAGAGCTCCTCCTCGACCATCTCGGTGAAGTTCTTCCATGATCCGTGGAGCTCGGGAATGTAGTAGCGAGACGAGCGCTCCCACAGGCCCTTGCGAGGCTGCTTCTTGGCCCACTCGCCAATCTTGTTGTGGAACTCGTAGTAGTGACCGCTGAGACGAAGATCCATTTCCCAGTTCCAGTAGAAGTCGTACTCTGGGCGGGCTTGAGCAAACCACTGCATGGCAAAGTGGGCACTTCGGTAGACAGAGTGAACAGGGGCTTTAGCGTGGTTGTAGACGTTGTTTGGGAATGGCTCAGGGTAGTACATGCGCATTTGCTGCTCGGACCACAGGGTAGCCATGCCCCAGAACTCCTTGGGGAGGTTGTCCTCGATGACCTTTTGGTAAATCTCCTCAGACGACCAAATGGGCAGGCTGTCGTCCTTGACGTGGAGCAGGAAGTGAACATCGTACTCGCCTCCAGACTTGAGGGCAAGTTCGTTGATCATGGCGCGCAGGGTGAGGATCTGGTAGTCGCTGTACTTGTAGCCGGTCCAGGTGCGGAGAACGTAGGCGTGGCGAGGCACCTTCTTTTTGGCGGGTGCAGACTCGTCCGTCTTGTTGTTCTTGAAGCGGTGGGCGTTCTTTTCGCGGCAGCGCTTCATGGCAGAGGCCCAGTTGACCTTGCGGTAGTCAACCTTCTTCTCCCAGCTCCAGATCTTGTCGGCGCCAGCCTTCTCAGACTTGCCGTCCATTTCAAGACCGCCCTCATCGCGAGAGTAGGAGTAGCCGTAGGGACCAAAGCGGCCGAAGCGATCAAAGCACTTCTTGTCATCGAAACCGATCTCTTCGTAGGAGCCGAAGAAGGGTGCAGTCATGTTCTGGGGAATACCGGGGTAGGCGTAGATGTCGGGCAGGTCGACCTTCTCCTCCTCGTCGAGGTAGCAGGTCTTGACCTCGTCGTGGTCCTTGAGGTACTGGGGCGAGTCGAACTTGTAGGGGTCAAAGGGTACAGGGTCCATTGGGGGCTCCTGGTTTTCCTTGGACATGTGTGGCCACTTGGGCTTGACATTGTCCTCGGGATTTGGGCTTTGCGAGTACTTGACATAGTCCTGCTCGGACACCCAGTCGCCAAAGGGGACAAGCGTGCGAACGCCGTTGAAGAAGCCGTTGAGGCTAATAGGTCAGCAGGCAGCTAGAGGATTGGGAAGACGGTGATGCTTACCGAGGGTAGTGTTCCCAGTGATATTGCTTGCGCTCATCGCCCTTGTGAGGCTGAGCGTGCCAGCGGTGTCTCCTGTAAACGCCGGTGCCAATCATGGAGAAGACGAGTATTACAGTGACGGCGAGGGTAATGAGACGCGCAAAAGACAGACGGGGCCGCTGGATGCGGCTGGCCCAGGCGGGCTGGCTATACTTCTTGCCCCATGACTTTGTGCTGAAGAGGGGCAGGGGAGATGAGCCCTGGCTGTCCTGGCCGGGGAGCTTTTCGTAGTTGAAGCGCGTTCGGATGAAGAGCTTGCCTGGGTTGAATCGCGACGCCATTGCGAAGGATCGATGTGTGGATGTGCTGTGGAGCGCGTGAAGGTGCCTATCGCATCTGAGGCGAGGCGATGCAGTCCGGAAGGAGGTGATGGGCTGTGTCGGGGGCTGTGGCGGCTGGCAGTGGTGGTGGTGTTTGTGTGTTGTTGCTCCTGGATGCTGCAACTACGAGTCGGACGGACAGATACTCGGCCGGGCGAGCAGCAGGCAGAGGGAATGGGGGAGGAGATGTGTGTGATGCAGCTGAGACGGCAGCGGAGAGTGAAACGAGTGACTGTCCTGGCTGTAGGAAGGGAGACAGAGACTGGACGAGTGGCAGCGCTCTGGAGGCGTTGGAGGAGAGACGGCGGGCTGAGGAGAGCAGAGCAGGAGCGACCCTTTTCCCTTTCCCTTGTTGCTTGCGGAGGCTAGTACGCTAGTTCGCAAGGGGCAAGCACCTGCACTGCACCTGCCTTGCACCGAATTCTGGAGCGGCGAAATGATCGGCTAGTGCGCCGGCGGAACACGAGGCCGCCCAAATGCAGAGCCCGCCGCTGCGTGGTGGATGCTGATGGCACGAATGATTGCTCCGATAATCACATATATAGTATATACAGTAAAGTAGCAGCTGTTTGTGGTGTTGCAGCTGTTGCGGTTGCTGATTCTCATCGCCAACCCCCACCCCCCCTTGCAAGCTTGGTGGTGGTGTTGGGCCATTGGCAGGATCCAGGCCGCCACAAATCACACAGCGCCCAGCTATCAGAGCACTGTAGCGGACGCTGCATAAATCTCGAAGCGGCATGGGCTCAGCTCGTTGCGCAACCGCCAGTGCTCTTCCCGGCTCAACAACGTCGCCCCGACCCAGCCCAGCAAGGGCATGGGGAAGCAATTTTTTTTCCTCTCGCAGGGTGACGTCGTGCCGCCGACGAATGCAGGATCGGCGCTTTTGTCGACGACGGCGCATGTGCATCATGGGTGTGGATGAGAAAGGCGTGGTGCAACATAACAGAGCTGGCCTTGCCCTTGGCGTCTCCCCCTGGGCCGCGCGTTCACTGCCGCCACCTCGCCTTTCCGCACCGCCGCTCCGCTCACGACAGCACGGCCTAAAAATAATCCCTCGCTGCAGCGCCCGTTAGCTACTGGCACTCTGCTGCGAGAGTATACGGCCAAGAGGAAGCCAAGCCGACTGGAAAATAAGCTGTCCCTTGGGCGTGGAATTACTGCATCCAACAAGTTATTGCCCTCTGCAGGGTGAAGCTGTTGCTGTTGTTTGTCTGCCGACCTCAGGCATACCTTCACCTTGACCCAGCGCCGGCCCCCTTCCGACATACCCCCGC